CCCCCCCCCCCCCCCCTCCCCTTCCCCTCCTCTCCCAACGAAAAAAACAGGCATCCAAAACTTGAGTTAATTAAAATATTGCACTACCGCACCACCAATGAAACATACCGGTAGATTATAAAGAAAATAGAGTACCTGTTAATGATATTGGCCTTTGATGAGCAGATGCCATGTTTCGCGACTAATGCGATACTTGCGCAAGAAAGGGGCAATATACCTTAATTTACGAAAGGCGCCAAGAAATAGCTGCTGATTTCACGCGCGATTTGAAAGATATCTAACATAGCGTACCATAAATAACCATACATTGATTGCAGCAAAAATAGTTCGAAAAAGAATCTGTAACGACTGTTGTTTGACAAAACCCACAGAATGCAGGGATAAGGTTTTTGTGATATGCAGAAGAGTAAGTGTCATCAGGCTAGGTCGATGGTTGACACTACAGTAACTGCGTGCCACTGTTTTCCAGTAAATCACTCGCTGCATTCTCACCTTGCCACATAGAACTTGGTATGGAGAAACAGAACCTGCTACAATCTCTTAAAAGAAATAAGTCTGTGCCTCTGTTCTTGAAAATGACAAGTGTTTAATACCCCGATATATAAAATCATTGGCAGTCGTTTAAAAACATCCTGATAATGAAAAAGAATTTCCCAAAAAAGGGTAAAATTCATACATTCTCTTCATACAATTATTACTGAATTAAAATTTTTAGTAGAAGAAGCTTTTTCTTTTATAGATATACAAACGAATTGGCGTGCGAGTTCCGTGATTTAGGTTAGGATGTGCTTAGCACGACGTTTGCAACAGGCCTTAATTAAGTTATATATGAATACTCACTTTTCCACGAACTAAAAAGGATAAAAATTATTCCCGCTACTCACCTGCATGCCCACGTATTTAAATTTCTCATCGTTTGTAAAGTTAGTAACACTAACGAAGCGATCAGAAGTGCTTATCTGACACTTGAAGCCATCAGTTTCGTTTGGAGAAGATTTCAAGTTGTAAGAAATGCATTTCTCTTCCTTAACACACTCAAAACTGCATGACTCTTCTGAATTGACGAGTATTTCTCTGATCATACTACCAGTCAGCTTTCGTCCGTGTATTGGGTGGGCGAAGTTAACAGCCTTTATTTGGGGCTCCGAAATACGACTCATGCCGTATACAGTGGCACTAGCGAAAAACAGCAGCCAGCAATGCATGTTCTCTGCCGTGCGGGAATGAAATGAGGTTCATGAAACCCAAAGGTTAATGAAGACAAAGAAGACCAATATCGGGTGACTTCATTAAAAGCCTCTGCAATGCATATTCTAATATTACACAGGTGAAGCGAAACAGGTGGCAATACAAATATACGCACAGCGCGTTTAATGACGAGATGCTACAGAAAATTCTTCACTAGACTGAGTTGCCCGATTTTAACAACTTTGAAAATCATTTTTCGTTTTCATATATTTTCTTATTATTTGATGATATATGCATGGTCTTCAATCCCATATTAGGCAAATCTTTGCTGACGTCATAGTTTTACATTTTTCATCATTAGCATACGACTTAACTCACAGAAGGGCGTGGCCGTTTATACCAACCAAACTCAAAAGTTGAAAGAGCACATTACCTTGAGCAATTTGTGCAATTTTTAGCTCTTTCTAAGCAATACTGAAGGAAATATTTGCTATCAAAAACTGCGAAATTGCCGGGTGGCAAAAAAGTTAATGAGCCATACATTTTTTGTGAAATTTCGAGTTTTTAAAAGAGAATTTCTCCGAAACCATTGGTATGTTGAGCTGAATGCAGTATTTAGCCGGTTTGTTTTATTAGCTCCACAAGATAGCGATAAGAATATGTTAATGAAGCAAAAAATGCAAACAATGATTCGCCCATATTAAACATTATGGGTACACGGTTAACGGTAGCCTGTGTACAGCCGCCCTGAGGGGCGGTTGTACACAGGCTAGGCTAGGTTAACGGTTATTTTGGTGGAATTTTGGTGGTAAAGCTAGCCCATGAACAGAAGCCTGTCCGGGATCCTGTTCGCGCTGACCGTCGTGGTGGACGAAAAAGACTGGGGTCGTCCGTAAGTTCTCTTCGACTCCAGACCCCTAGGAGATCATTCGAACGACAACATGGCGGATGTCGAAGTTGTGCGTGTGAGACATACTTGCCGGGAATGTGGCAAAAGTTATAACAGGAATTCGAGGCTTGAGGAGCATATAAGGTCCCACACTGGCGAGGTAAGTAAATGATGCAATTTAGGCTTTGTATAATTCAAGTGGTCAGAAAGTAAGATTCACGGGTTGCGTGGGAGGTGCGTTCAGGTACGTTCTGGTTCGTCACTGTAGATGCTTACCGGTACTTCTTTTTATCCTTTTAAGGGGGTTGAAATATTTCTCTGTTAGTTTAAACTTCTAAAATGTCACTATATTTTCTATGGAGTAAACTCGGAGTAACTTTAGAGTACCCGGTCAAACGGGTGTTTTATACCATGAAAACTATGTTGCTACGGTCCGCAAAAATAAAATGTATTACGCTGAAAATTTTACCCTTTTTGGTGGAGATTTATAGGTAATGAAATAACCTAATACAATAAACTTGGTTACACTTCGTGTTGGTTTTTGCAATTTCAGGATACACTGTCAGTATAGGAGTAATTTTTGAATTGATTTCAAGTTGTTTTCTTCAAAATATTAAATTATTATTGAAGCTTTCGTTATACATTGATCCTGTGTTCTAATCTTAGTCATGTGACTACTCTTGGCTGCATGGCTAACAAGCCATTTCCCAGATCCAAAAATCTGGCTTTCAACATGAGGCTAAGTGCAAAACCTTTCTTGTGAAAATGAGTTTTATTTTCGTGAGAATAAAGAACAATTTTCATATCAATAGCCTCGCACTTGGGTGTTACAAAAACTAAGACCCTCAAAAACTAAACCAACGTCATGTATATATTACGGATTGATTTTGTCGGGGTCGTAGTTTTCGTAACAATGAAAACTAAGTGGGGTCTATGTTTTCGAAACTACGGAAACTAACACCCCTAAATTTACTGCTGCATTTGAGAAATTGCAACTGTCAATTCCAATGCCATGGTTTGGTTTGTTCCACTTTTCTTGAAATCGCTCACCTCATTGATTCCTCTATGACCCACGATGAACTGCATTTCTTTATGAAAGGAGCGATCCATTTGCTCTTTAGTTGTCGTTTTGTACCAGGTTATGGACTGAACGGACACACATGAGCTTTGATCAACACTCTTGCAATTGCACTGGAATGTTTCCTACCCAAGCTTTGTGTGATTCCCTTTCATTGAGAGTCACTTGAGGCACAGACAATACTTTTTCCATCTCCGCTCCAAAAACAGCAAAAAAAAACTTTTTTTAACTTTTGGAATCCAAACTGGATGTAGATATATAATTTCATAGCTAGCAAGAAAACGTTTGAATATTTCATTCAAGCATTGAAAAACATTCATGAGAAGATGTGTAACAAAAGCCTCCAGTAATGTGAGGACCAATAGTTAGATTAAGGTCTGGAATGTCTCCAGGGTACTACCTGATCGCATGTCAGTCACGGAAGGTCCCCACAGAATAAATTTTGATTTGAAAAACTCTTCGTCTGTCCGATTTTTTATTGAGTTATTAATTTCTTTTATGAAATGACTAATGGGACAGTGGCGCTCATTTATGTTGTAATGTTGTTGTATAAAACTGGTAAGTATTCAGTCATGTTATGGAAATTTACCGGCAGAAGTGCAATAAAGAAACATTATTAGAAGATTTGTGAAGGTACTTTTGGAAAGCTTCTTGAGAGGAAATAAAATAAAATGAAAGTATGGTCATTTTCCGACATTTTTTTATTATTATTAAATTGGATGTAGCTGTTTAAATTTAACGACAGTGCAGTGGATGGGCCCGGCTGGCAAAGTTGTATCGAATTGATGAACGCATGCGCTTTTATAGATGGCTTGCAGACTTCATAGCTAGATCATGTGCAAATCTGTTTTTCATCTGTTTCTCATCAGCAAGAAAACATCTTTGCAGATGGTCTGCTCAGACTGAAAACAGGTTTTGCAGATGATAAAAGGGTCTGTACAGTTATTTAAGTCTGTCTTTCTGTTGCGCTGCAGATTTGGGACATGATCGCCACTCGACCTGAGAACTTTGATTCAATAATATATGTTTTCGTAAACTAGAAATATCTTGTCAAGGTGTAATCTAGACCAAATTTCAAGACATTTTCAAGACATAAAGATAGGGCAGGGCTCTAAAATAGTCTTTCACGACATTTGCTAGTCTCTCAGGACAATTAGTTTGTCTTGGAAAGGTCTAAAAAATGTCTGCAAGATCTTCGCTAGACCTAAGACAGACAAATTTAGACCTAGCTGTTTCGTACAGGATGATAAACAACATCTTGCATATGTTTCTCTTGTTCACAGCCAAACTATACCTTAAGTGATCGAAATTGTTGTGCAGATTCAGAGATCCCAACCCTCCCATTTTGGCTGGCTGGAAACCTCCCGTTTCCTTAAATCCTCCCGTTTTGCTTAATACTCTCCCAGTTTTTGAAACTCCTCCTTTCTTTGTTCAACCAGTCTTTACCTTTTGGCATGATTTGGTTTCTCAGCCATTTTTACCTTTTTGGCATCCAAGCATGAGCCTGTGATAATTTTGGGCATGGTTATGCACTGGATTACCTCAATTTTGTGTAAGGTTTATGTTCATTAATGTTGTGGTCTGCAGGAAATGACATCTTAGAGGCACATACAGCTGTATCTTTAAATAACCTTAAAAGTGCTTTTAGCACCCATAGGTGCAGCTATGCCACTCCAAAAACCTCCCTTTTTTAGTTGAGTTGTGTTGAAACAACTTTGTATTGACACAGCTGGTTTCCTTCATGTGGCTACACTATCTTTGATGCCATTTAACTTAGGAGCCGCTGTGTTTTGTACAGCTGTACAAACACGTTACAGAGACTACAGTATCAATTTTGTCCTAAAAATATCAATGTACATCACAGAAAAGGTTATGAGAGTTACTGAAAAGATCATCTAAGGAAAATGCTTTCAAACTGATCTTTGAGCAAATGTTCTTAACAAATTCTCCAAGGAAATTTAGAGATATCACCTCACTGAATTTTGTTTTGGGACATAAAGCAAAAGGGTTCAACTACTTAGTAGATAGATAGATAGATAAATCGTTTATTAAAGAAAGAAACACCTCGCAGTCCGAAGACTGAATTACGTGTATAATATACAAGTTATAGTTAAAATGGATTTAAAAAACTATAATAATAAAAATGTACAAATCTAACAAAAACATTTCACTTAGGATAA